GCTATATATAGATAAGCGGAAACCCTCCGCTCTGGTCGCAGGACGTAACGTTAGAGTGTGCTTCTTGTATAATGCTGTAACTGTTCCTTTTTTTAAAAAAAAACAAGCTGATTTGTTTTGGGTTTTTTTTACATCTAGATTGCCATCAACAAATACGCTCCCCTGTTTCTTTTTTTTTTTTTTTTACATGCATCACTACAATGTGTTTCCATGCAGGTCTCCTCCTCCTCCTCCTCCTCCTCCTCCTCATCTTTTACATTGAACAACGTTATAAATGTCGAACAAAACATTTTTTAAATCAGTTAAAATCATATTATTTGGGAAAGCAGTTTGAATATTTTACAGCAGCGGTTCCCATCCACTGGGTTGAGGACCAGAATTGGTCCATAGATCGTTTGGCACAGGTCTGCACAGAAAGAATTTCATTTATTTTTTTTAAATTGATGTTAGTCTGCCAGATATTTTATTTTGAAGAAAAAATAAAAAATAACTTCCACCCGCTTCTTGATTTAGCGCTTCAGTCGGGTTTCTTCATGATCCCTCAAACTAACTTTATCAGAAATAATTAAAATTCAAACGATGAGACGGCATCGTCCATGATGCAAAAACGAGTCGTGAGTTTACTCTTGCTCCAACCTGCAGGTGGCGTCTGTGAGGGATTTTCTGCGCTTGGTCTGAATGAGGTTAGTTTGAATACAGTAATGTTATTAAGTTTCTTGATTTTATTTTTTTTATGGCTCCATTTACTGACTGATGGCAATCTAGGCATAAATAATTGTGAAATCATTTTGTGATAAAATAATGACAGACAATAAATAGCTTTAGATCCCGTAGCTCTGAGATGAAAAGCGAAGGAAGGCGTTTGTCCCTCCACTGATCCACTGTTTGACAGTGACTCACATTCAAACAGATTGAAGTCGATCAGTCGCCAAATACATTTCGTCAAACACAATGACATGTTTTCTCAAATGGTAACAACGTAACTACAGCCGCTGACGTCCACCTTCGTCGTCCACGCAGCATTCTCTCTTCGTCGCTGCTGCATTTCTCTGCTCAAGTGGAAGACTCATCAGAAGAAGTTTGATCAAAACTCTAAAGACTTTTTTTTTTTTTAAAAAGAAATCCCTTTAAATTGATTTGAGCCCATTCACAGTCCCTCGTGGTTGGACTGCTCCAACTTTGTCTTCCATGATGCACATTCTCTCTGCCTTCGGTTTTCAAGGACAACATTAATACAAGACACGGGGCGAGTGTGTGTTCCACCCTCCCGTGGAGTGTCGGGGTTAGTCAGTGCAAGGCTTCAGGAGTAGGTAGTCGGCGGTCCTTGAAGGAGAGGAGAAAGATGGGAGAGGACGAGCTGTTGAGGAGGCTGGAGGAGCAGGAGAACGCTTTCCAGAATTAAATATTGATCCGAAGCCCTGAGGATTTCTTTTTTGCATGTTTGTGGCTTTGGGGAGGTGAAAGTCAGGGATGACTCGCTCCTGCTCCTCCTCTTCCCCTTCCTCATCCTGCAGCTGTCTTTCTTCCTCCTCCTCCTCCTCCTCGTTCCCTCACTGGGACTTCTCGTCGGACTCAGACGGAGTGTGATCTTGAGGCAACGACATGCTCTTGTGACGGTCCCACAGCTTGTGGAGCTCAGTGGCCTCGTTCTCACTGCTGCTGGTGCCGCTGTCCCGGAAACTGGCCAGTGGAGGTCGCACCTTCACACCCTTGACCGTCACAGAGCCTTCGATGGCCTTACGGAGCTGCGTGAACAGAGACAGAGTGGTTACCAGCAGGTACCTACAGCACTGAGTCAGGTCCCTCACTGAGCTCCGACCATTCATTAATGACAATCAGTTTTAACCTGTTAATCAGCCCTAATTAACAGGTTAAATGACACTAATTAAATAGTATTTTTTATTTAATAAATACCTCACGTACAGGTGATTTGAGTGATTTTTACATAAACAAAATAAGTCAAAATATTTCTTTTTTTTAAACATTATTTTATGGGCATTTCCATCAGTTTTGCCCCAGAGTTTGAGCCACGTTTTCCTCTCCTGCACACTGACCTGACCTGACACCGGGTTTTCCTCTCCTGCACACTGACCTGACACCACCGACCTCGGTGGAAATGGAGCTGCGAACGCTGACTCAGCGCTGGTCTTGGTTTATTGTGTAAAATGATTTACTGTCTGACTCACAGGTAACGCTGACCATTTTAACTGAAACTCATCTCTGATGACCTGTGGTATGTGGGGGGCGAGGAGGGGGGGGCAGGCGGTCATGGCCTGTGGGGGGGGTTATTTTGAAAGA